GGCCTGTTAGGAACCGGGCCACAAAGCAGGAGCGGCGGGCGAGCGAGCGAAGCTTCATCTGCGGCTCCCCATCGCTCCCCATCACTGGCATTACGGCCTGAACCATCCCCTCCCACCCCACCCCTGGTCCATGGAAAAATTGTCTTCCATGAAACCAGTCCCTGGTGCCAAAAAGGTTGGGGACCGCTGCTCTACAATACATTCAATGAAGTTCCAGCTCATTTTGAGTTTGTTTTTTAAAGCACTTTATTTCCCTTTATCTGAAACAAGCTCTTTCCTCAGTTTACGAGACACAGCAGTTCCCAGGTTTTTAGACACAGATCCCTCTTACAGGGCCCACAGTGCCATGTAGATGATAGCCATAAAGTAGAAATCCCCTGGCCTTCTTTTCAGAAGCCTGTGACAGGAACCAAACCTCTCCAGCCTGAGGCTGGAATGCTGACATATTCTTGATATAAGAGGAAGTCTGAACTGATTGTTAAATATTTGTACAGCAAGAGAAAGAGGAAACAAGGAGAAACAAAAGCACCCTCCATGTCAGAGTCACAGGACCATCTACTCTGGCAGGCCACACCAGCCGCAGCCAAATGTAAGTATAGTTAGGTTACACGTGTTATTTGGTCTTCAGAAAAAAGCTATCTGTCTGAGGATGCTGTGTTCCAGCCACTTTAATTGGAGTGATAACAGAACCACTGTCAAAGAGCCTCTAAGTTCCATTTCAGTTCTAGACTGTTCTCGACAGGCTGCTCTGGCTAGAAATCATTAGTCCTGGGGGCTCAGAGTCTACCGGTCTAATTACACACAGACTAAGCTCTTACTTTTACTGGTGACTTTTTATTTCAAAATTTTTCCACTATAATTTGGATAATAAATAAAAAATCTCCTCTAATTTTTGCCATTTAGCATAACCACTAATATAACTTACGTGCATTTGTCTTATGTATATGGAATCTTTAGAGATATATAATGACAATGCACATAAAGTTTAAAACATTAACTGTAGTAAAATATACATAACATAAAATTTATTACCCTAGCCAATTTTAAGTGACAGTTCAGTAGCATTAAGAATATACACGTTGGGGGCTTCCCTGGTGGCGCAGTGGTTGAGAGTCCGCCTGCCGATGCAGGGGACACGGGTTCGTGGCCCGGTCCGGGAAGATCCCACATGCCGCAGAGCGGCTGGGTCCGTGAGCCATGGCCGGCTGAGCCTGCGCGTCCGGAGCCTGTGCTCCGCAACGGGAGAGGCCACAGCAGTGAGAGGCCCGTGTACCGCAAAACAAAAAAACAAACAAACAAAAAAAGAATATACACGTTGTTGAGCAACCAACCAATCTCTGGACGTTTTTCAGCTTGCAAGACAAAAACTCACTTCCTCCTCCCTCCAGACCCTGGAAACCACCTTTCTACTTTCGGATTCTATGAATTTGACTACTCTAGCTCAAATAAGTGAAGTCAATATTTGTCTTCTCGTGACTGGCTTATTAAACTTAGCATAATGTCCTCAGGGTTTATCCATGTAGCATGTGTCAGAACTTCCTTCCTTTTTAAGGCTGAATAATATTCTACTGTATGCAAATATCATATTTTGTTTATTCATCCACCAATGAACATTTGGGTTGCTTCCTCCTTTTGGCAATTGTGCACAATGCCGCTGTGAATTTACATGAAGTTTTATACCCTACTTTTTACTTTCCATTGTAATATCTAGGTATAAACATATATAATTTTTTCCAGGTTGATATATAGCCTCCATAATAATCTTTCTTTCTCTGTTTTAACAGCAACATGGTAGTCCTTCAAACCCATATTCTTAAATCTTTTCTACAGTTGGACATTAGAAACGTTTCCAGTTTTTCCCTCACTGCTGATAAAAATTTTGTACCTGTGATATTCCCCCCATATTTTACTTTATATTCTTAGATTCCTACAAAGTGAAATTACTAGGTTTAAAAGATATGGGCATTTTATAACTTGAAAGACAGGAGATTTGGGGGGGAGATAAATAAGGAGTTTGGGATTAACATATACGCACTACTATATATAAAACAGGTAAACAACAGGGACCTACTGTATAGCACAATGTTTTGTAATAACCTATAATGAAAAAGAATCCGAAAAATTATATATATATAAGTACATATATATATAGCTGAATCACTTTGCTCTTGAAACTAACACAACATTGTAAATTAACTATATGTTAATTTAAAAAAAAAGAACTTCTTCCAAAGGGAAGAAAAAAAGAAAGACAAGAGATAGAAAGCCAAATTGCTTTCTAAAAGAATTGTATCCATTTGCACACTAATAATGTATATGAATTTACATTTCCCCATATTCACACCAGCCTTTTTTTTTTTATTTTTCTGGCTGCGCCGCACAGCATGTAAGATCTTAGTTCCTCAACCAGGGCTCGAACCCCCGCCCCCACCTAAGTGGAAGCATGGAGTCTTAACCATTGGACCGCCAGGGAAGTCCTTATTTATTTATTTATTTTTTACATTAGAAAATTAAACAGGAGGAAGATAAGGGCTCATTTCTTTTTTAAAAAATATTTATTTATTTATTTGGCTGCACTGGGTCTTAGTTGTGGCACACAGGATCTTCATGGTGGCATGCGGGATCTTTATTTGCAGCATGCGAACTCTTAGTTGAGGCACGCGGGATCTAGTTCCCTGACCAGGGAACGAACCTGGGCCCCCTGCATTGAGAGCGCAGAGTCTCAGCCACTGGACCACCAGGGAAGTCCCAAGACCTCAGTTCCGTTTGATAGACAACACTGTGATTATTAACAGTGATGGGCATTTATGAGAACACTCCAAACTTGGCCAGCCTGTGAATACTAGCATGGTTACAGTTAACTGAGATATATATAATGTATAATATATGCATATAGTAGAAACATGTCTGCTATGTAGTGGGGGGCTCAGTAAATGATAGCTATTATTATTGGTGCTATGATTTCTATTAATGCCCAAAGTATGATGATTCTTAGCCAGTACATGGTCTCTCAGGCCCTCAGCTCCTCTAAACCAGGGATCCCCAACCCCTGGGCCGCGGACCGGTACTGGTCTGTGGCCTGTTAGGAACCGGGCTGCACAGCAGGAGGTGAGCAGCAGGCAAGTGAGTGAAGCTTCATCTATATTTACAGCTGCTCCCCATTGCTCGCATTATCACCTGAACTCTGCCTTCTGTCAGCATTATGGTGAGTTGTATAATTATTTCATTGTATATTACAATGGAATAATAATAGAAATAAAGTGTACAATAAATGTAATGTGCTTGAATCGTCCCAGCACCATCTCCCCTCCCCCACCCGGCCCTGTCAGTAGAAAAATTGTCTTCCGTGAAACCGGTCCCTGGTGCCAAAAAAGTTGGGGGCCGCTGCTCTAAACCATGGTTTTCCAACTATATGGGTCATTTGCAGTTTGGTGGTCTCTCAAAGCAGTTTGTTCTTCCCTGTGGAGGTGCTCTACACAAGCTCTTTGCAGCTAATGCTCTCTATACACAGCTTTGCTTTGCTGGTGGCTGCCCTGAGACCTCAGAGTACCAAAGCTGTACTTAGGCTGGAGGGCATCATGGTAGAAGTGTCATCTGGGCTCCAGCATGACACTGCCTTATGCCCAGAATCTTGTAAATGTCTTTATTATTAATACGCTCCTCTATCTTTTGGCCCTAATGCCCTCTTTTCAGAGAGGCTCAAGGCAACAGGAATGTAAGGGAGCCCGTATGCCATGCTCCCTTCAGTAGGCAGAATAATGACCCTTCCTCCCTTCCAAGATGTCCACACCATATTCTTGGAACCTGTGACTATGTTACCTTACATGGTAAAGGGCCTTTGCAGATGTGATTGAGTTCAGGATCTTGAGATGGGGAGATTATCTTGGATTATCTGAATGAGCCAATGTCATCACATGAGTTCTTTTAAGTGAAGGAGGGAGACAAGAGGCTAAGAGAGAGAGTGATAGAGAGTTAAATGGAAGAGAGAGAGAGAGAGAGACAATTAATGCTGTGTTGCTGACTTTGAAGGTGGAAGGGAACCCTGAGCCAAGAAATGAAGGTGGCCTCTAGAGGCTGGAAAAGGCAAGGTAACAGATTCTCTCCTAGAGCCTCCAGAAGAATTACATCTCTGCCAACTCCTTGAGTTTTAGCCCAATAAGACCTATTTTGGAATTCTGACCTCCAGAACTCTAAGATAATACATTTGTGTTGTTATAAGCCATTAAGTTTGTGGTAATTTGTTATGTCAGCAATAGCAAACCCATACGCTCCCCTCCTCCTATTTCTATTGCTTCCTTCCTATTTCTCTTTCCAGGGTTCCTTTAAATCTCTTTCTTTTTTTTTTTTTTAAGCCTGAACTTGAAAGTTCCCAAGTTAATTAAGACAATTAGAGGGGCTACAAATTCCACAGTTAGGAAGTCTCTGCTGCTACTCTGCTCAACAGTTCCATTTGCTCTTTTGTAAATTATTTATGTTCTTTGCCCGACTGATGACTCTTAATGTCATAAGAGTATAGATCTATAGGGCCCCTCGAAGATTCCACAATGAGCCATACTCTCTCATGTAACCATCCATCCAGTCATTCATACAAGAAATATTTACTGGAGACTTCCACGTGCCAGGCTTTGAGCTAGTATTGGGATATAAAGATGGAAGTGAGCAATCTGTGCTTCCACGGAGACCATAGGTGTTGGGTTTTTATACTTGAGAACAATATGCATAGTTTTTTTTGTTTGTTTGTTTTTTGTTTTTCTTTTGTTTTTGGTCCTGCGGGTGTTGTAAGATTTGTTTCTTTCTCGAAAGCAGTTGGGTATGTGGAGCCTCTTTGACTAAGTAACAAGCGAGAGGAACCGTACCCTTGTTCCACTGTGTCTTCCAGTTTGTATTCAGACCCAGACAAAAGTTAATGTGTTTGATGATAGATAAACATGAATGAAAAACGGTGTAGCCCAGTTCATCTTTATTTAGGATAATTTCTCCCCTCTCTTTATCCTCTTCAGTGCTGCTTTCCTGCCTGTGATGCAGGGAGCTAAGGTTCCAATTAAATCTTTGTGGACAAAAGGTACACATGACATCCCCAGATAACAGGTGGCAATAAATCCATCAGCACATCCACTTTCAGAGAAGAGTCCCGGCTGAACTGCTAACAGCTGCCAATACCTCACTGAGTACCTTGTACAAGGTGAGCTCTAAGGTAAGATGTTTTTCTCTCTGGACACATTTAATCCTTCCTTGTAATTTGTGTCTCTCAAAAGAGAATTATGCCTTTAAAGTTTACTACTGATTTGTTGACAGATTCCTGGTTTTGTTTGGTTTGTTGTTTTGGTTTGGTTTTATTTGCTTGAATATTTTTAGTCTGTCCTCAGAGAACTTATTTTATTCCATTTTACATCTTTTAGTTTTCCATTGCTCTTCTTTTAATCTCTTCTTATATTCTTATGTGTGCATTTCTTATATATCCTAACTCAGTTTGTATTTAGATATAGCTTTTCCTTATATACAGAGAAATGAAGGGCCTTAAATGATTTTCATGCATTTTCTGGTTAAAACTGATCTGGAAGTTTGGTTCCATGGGCACCCCTTGGTCACTTGCAACTGTAGTGTGGATGGTGTCCTTCTTCCAGCCCTTGCCTTACAACAGAGTAGCTCAGTGCTAGGATACTTCCAACATTTGAGGCTGATGTTGAACCCCAATGATAATCATTTAAGATTATTTAGTTTCTGTATTATGAAAGTAGTTAATTATAGAATAATTATACAATAACTCAAAATTACAGAAAAGGAAAAAGAAGATAATTTGTCATTGATGATAATAGCTGACACTTGTGGGTGTACCTTTCTAGTCTAGTCTTTTAAAGTGGTGCACATATATTTATTTTTTATATAATTGAGGTCAAGCTGTAGATACAATCTAATATCATTTTTTTCTTAACATATTGAATATTTTCTAAGTCATCAAAATTATTTGAAAACATTGTTTTTAAGAGCTACTTATATTCCACTATTAAAATGTATCATTTTTATGATACATTTAAAATGTATCACTAACATAAATAATTCAACAGTTATTAATTTTACACATAAATCTTTGGCTGCATTTCTGATTATTTCCTTACGATAGGTTCCAAATCAAAGGGTATACATTTTTTTAGAGCCTGATATGTTTCATGACAGTAATCTATTTTAAACTTTATAAGATTGGAATTGTTGATACTACAACAGAAACAACATAAAAGAAAATGAAATTCTTCCCAGCAACTGTTATTACCTGAAGTTTAACAAAGTACTCTGACTTAATGCTGACTAATGACATGAAATCCTAAGTAGAAAACGAACCATCAAAGTTAGTATTTTACTTACACAGAGTAGCACACCTTTCTGAGCAGGGGTTTATAGCTTAAACAAAAGAATAGGTGTGTTTCTAGTACCATAGAGCAAGGGAAGATGGTGGGGAACATTCCTGCAAGTTAAAAAAAAAAACTGGGATTTTGTTCTAGTTTGACACTGATTGTGGGACCTGAGACACATCTCCTAGCTTCTTGAATCTCAGATTTCTCATCTGCGAGATGAAAGGCTTGGTCTAGGTCAATGTTTCTCAGTGGGCAGCACAGGTAACACTTGTGGCACATGGGCTATTTTGGGGTGGTACATAGACATAGACAGTTATTTTTTTGGCATGGCACATAAAGTTATCTTTTTAAATGATAGTATTTCAGTTTTTAAAAAGAGTGGATTTAGAGGAAAAGATTAAGTAAATAACAATACAGGTAGTCCTCAGATATGACATAAACTACTGAGGTGATGGGCAAACGTCTGATGTTTGAGAAATATAGAGCTAGGTGATCTCTGTAGAACTTGCTTAATGTGTGAGGTAGAATTTCAGATATAAAAAGCCGGTCAGCAATGCTTCCTTGGAAGGCATTCTGTGAACGAGGTAGAGTTATTCAGATGTATAAGAAGTAACAGAGACACAGGCATGGAAAAGGTTCAGATACCATCCTATCATTGGGAGTCTGGGGTTAGCAGATGCAAACTAGTATATATAGGATGGATAAACAACAAGGTCCTACTGTATAGCACAGGGAACTATATGCAATATCCTGTGATGAACCGTAATGGAAAAGAGTATGAAAAGGAATATATATATGTGTGTACCTGAATCACTGAGCTGTACAGCAGAAATCAACAGAACATTGTAAATTAACTGTACTTCAGTAAAATATAAACAAACAAACAAAAAGACCATCCTATCACTTGCAACTCTTTGTACTTCTCATTTTAATAGTGAGTTTCACTTGCCTGGGCAGAATTTCTCCCAGATCCTCCCTAAAAACCTGGCAGAGGAGCCACCCCTGGCACCCTCACCATGCTCAGGGCAGTTTTGGACGCTCCTCAGTGGTTGCTGAAGAAGGGGAGAGAGTCCCGGAAGCTGGTGCTGCTGGTGGTGTTTGTCGCTCTACTCCTGGACAACATGCTGCTCACTGTGGTGGGTACGTTTGGGGGGCTTGGCGCTGGGGGTTAATTTGCTGTGGTTCCCAGAGGACAGCACATACCCTGTTAGAATTCAGCAGTGAATGGACTGGAGAATTTTTCTTTTTGTGCTTGAAAACACAAAGATTGCTGGGGATTAGAAGAAATGGCAGGAAATGGAGTCTGAAGCTTGCCAACCTTTGCTGAAAGACCCCAGAGGTTCAAAGAGAAGGAGGTTCAGAGAGCATCTGACCGAATCAAAGGGACTGACCCGGAGCCAGAACTGGCAATACTTTTCTTCCTCCCCATACTCTCTTCCTAAGGTGCTAATGACTCCAAATGCCCTCTGGGATTGTGAGCACCTTCTCACCATGTTGCCTTTGTCTGCTCTGTCAAAATAACACACTTTATATGGATATCCAACTTCTTATCAAAACCTACCTTTCCTGTGGTTCTTTCCCTCCCAGTCCTTCTTTTTTAGTTGGTAGTCTATTCATTTTTACATTCAGTTGTGCTGGTATATAAATGGGAACCAGCATGTTTCCCCTTCTGGGTAAAATATATGCTTTTAAACAAGAATCTTCCTGAAACAAATGATAAATCCAATATAGTCAGTTCTTATTATTCATGGTGTTATGCTCTATAAATTTTCTGTGAACACTGGATTTAGTCTATACTAAATAATTTCTCCTCGGGGAAATACACACACACACACATATGCCCCTCCTGCCCCCCCATACATATGTGTGTGTGTGTATACCATATAGATTATAATCTTAAATCTTAAAAACAACACATCCTGGTAGATTGTATTTTCTTTACAAAAGAGAAAACGAACTTCAGAGGTGTTAAGTGACTTGCCTGAGGCGACCCCACTAACAGGTGCTGAGCTGGGATTCAGGCTGTGCCCAACTGGCCCCAGAGCTGGAGTTTCTTGCACCTTGCTGCCCTTCCCCGCCCCATGCTCTGCATCTCTGTGTGAGAGTGAAAGAAGAAGGCAGAGCCCACCTTGTTCAACCTCAGCTGCAAAAGTGAGCATCTGGTGACTCTGTTTTCCACACTCTTTGCATGTATGTCTGAGAAAACGTGCGATGGCTTTGTGAGCATTGACTTTTGTGATTACAAACATTGGCCAGTAGACGAATTAGCCAATATGGAATCCATGAATAATGAGGACCAGTTGTATGATGGTTGGAATTCAGGTACTTGAGCTAACAGGATAACTCGGGCAGGTGCAGTCTTTTAGTAGGCTTCAGATCATGTCACTTGGACGCCTTCCTGAGCATGAGCCTGGACCTCATGGTAATGTCCCTGAACTGACTAGCAGTCAGAAGACAGTCTGTCCTTAGCCCTCATTACTTGTTCTTCTTAACTTTCAGTGCCCATTGTGCCCACCTACCTATATGCCACAGAGTTCAAAGTCAACACTTCTGTGTACCCTGGGCCCACCACGGCTTCCCAGCCTGCCCTCACTTCTGCCTTTTCCACCATCTTCTCCTTCTTTGAAAACAACACCTTGGCTATCGAAGAAAGTGTGCGCAGTGGCATAGCATGGACAATTGACACTCCCGGCACCGTCGCCCCTCTGGTCACCGAAGCCATCCCAGCCCATGAAAACAACTGCTTTCAAGGCACAGAGTTCTTGAAGGAAGAGAACCTATGGGTTGGGCTTCTGTTTGCTTCCAAGGCTCTGATGCAACTTCTGGTCAACCCATTCGTGGGGCCTCTCACCAACAGGTATCTCAATGGGTACAGTGCCCCACAGGGTACTCAGGGGCTCAGAAATAAGAGAATGGGCTGAGGTATCATAAAGGTGGTTAGAAAGGATAAAGAAGGGAAAACTCACTTGTCTGCACCCCAGGGTGGTCAGCTGTTTGGGAAAGATAGCATGATATTGATAAAATGACTTGGGCTTCAGATTTTCTTAGTGATGTAATGACTATTGAGTACCAAGAAGAGAACCAGGGAACAGAAGTATACTACTGGTATTATTTCAGTGCCTTGGAACATGGCTTGAATGGGGTAAGGGTAGAAATAGGACAGGCCTCTTGCAGGATAGAGCACTGGCTTCTTAGTGCTTGTGTTTGGGATTATCCTCATGTTTCAGAAAGATATGCCTTCTGACTAGGTTATTTATCTTTTCTGGAAAAGAGGATTTGGGCCCTGGCCAACAGGTAAATTTGCATGTTTGTTTATATGCATTCACATGTCATATTCCGTCTCTGTACCTGCATTCGGAGACATGTTTTGCCATGCACTCAAATAACTGCATTTTTGTTCCCAATTACATGAAAAAATATAGTGCAAGTATACAGATGCCTATTGGAATCGTATCTTTTTTTAATTCCCTTTTAGGATTGGATATCACATTCCCATGTTTGCTGGCTTTGTTATCATGTTTACCTCCACAGTTAGTAAGTAATTTGCTACCTCTTTTCTTCACTTCATTGATTAACTTTGATTTTATCACATGCATTACCAGGAAGAGAGCAGGGTCAAGTGAGCTAATTAGTCATCTAAGTGACCTATGACACTGATTTAAATGCTTTACAGTTTTCGTTATGGGGACTAGAGCAGTAGAGGCAACTCAGTTGGCATTTGTATATCATGCTATAAAAGAACAGATACTTCACTTCCTTCAGCTTGGAAAAGTTGTGAAGGCTGTTTTAATTTGTATGCAATAATGTGTATGTGTGTATCTATCAGTAATCCCTTGAATGAGTTTAGTACAAACCTCCCATCTTTTTTTTTTTAAATAAATTTATTTATCTATTTTTGGCTGCGTCAGGTCTTTGTTGCTGCGCGCAGGCTTTCTCTAGTTGCGGAGGGCTGGGGCTACTCCTTGTTGCGGTGTGCGGGTTTCTCACTGCGGTGTCTTCTCTTGTTGTGGAGCATGGTCTCTAGGCACGGGGGCTTCAGTAGTTGCGGCACACGGGCTCAGTAGTTGTGGCTCGCGGGCTTTGTTGCTCTGTGGCATGTGGGATCTTCCTGGACCAGGGCTGGAACCCGTGTCTCCTGCATTGGCAGGCAGATTCTTAAACACTGCGCCACCAGGGAAGCCCCAAACCTCCCATCTTTGAGAAGAGGTCATCGTATTTTGATATGTAAAGGTAAAGGGCAACTAACAAAGAATCTAAATTGGGCAGTAGCAACTGGAAAATTCCATAAAAGTTCACTCCCTTCAAGGAAGGCCATTAAAGATTATAGCTTTGGGAAATAAATGTGCTAAGGAAACAAGAAAGAGAAAGACAAATAGTCTACCCAGTATCAGATAACTGTTCCCTAAAGATGGAATAAGAACAGTAAGTGAAATAAAATACATCTGGAAATTGACCCTGAGAAAATAAGAAAAAAATGAATGTGGAGTGGTGGGGGAGAGTTTAATAAAGGGGAAGGCATCCTGCTGCCTCTGCTGCCTCTCTGCTCCGAATAATATACCTTCTCCCTCTTGTTTTTCTTAATACCTTTCTGTTACTTTTCTACTTTTTGTATTGCTCTTTCTCAAATTTTCTTCCCTTCCAGCGTAGGACTTGACTCCTGTCAACCAATACTGAACAGGAATTTGTTGCATTCAGGGCTGGAAGGTGCAAAGTGCAGGAGCTCAATGTGTGAAGTTCTGTCTGAGAACTTCAGCTTACTTGCGACATTCTAGTTGAATCAAAGAAAATGAAGAAATTAAAGTTAGAAATCTTTATTGAACTTCTAGGAGCTCAGCCTATGCCAAACAGTAAATTAAAAACTAATAAGACGCTCTATTTCATCACATGAGGCATAGTTCATGTCACAAAATTTTATGGTACACACACATGATGCCTTGATGGTGATGGTGAAAAGTCACTGAGGTGAAAAGTCACTGAGGGAACATAAAGAATGAAAAGACATGGCTCTGTCTACCCAGGGGTTCTTAATGCTTGCCTGGGAGCCATGACAAACACCCTGCAAAATAAGATAATGCAGTGTCCTAGTGGATCCCAAACTTTTTAGCATAAGGTCCTTTCCTGATTCTCTGTCAAGAACTGATTTTTTTTTAACATTATATTTTTTAATTAATTAATTTATTTTCGGCTGCGTTGGGTCTTCGTTGTTGCGCACAGGCTTTCTCTAGTTGTGGTGAGGGGGGCTACTCTTCCTTACGGTGCACAGGCTTCTCATTGCGGTGGCTTCTCTTGTGGAGCATGGGCTCTAGGTATGCGGGCTTCAGTAGTTGTGGCACATGGGCTCAGTAGTGTGGCTCGTGGGCTCTAGAGCACAGGCTCATTAGTTGTGGCACACGGGCTTAGTTCTCCGTGGCATGTAGGATCTACCCGGACAAGGGCTCGAACCCGTGTCCCTTGCATTAGCAGGCAGATTCTTAACCACTGTGCCACCAGGGAAGTCCAAGAACTCATGTTTTGAAAGCTTTTCTTAACTACTGAACTGTATATATTAAATAATGATTATCGTTTCCATGCCATAACTAGTGTTGCTATACTGGGTTAGCCTAACTCTAGCAAACGTTTGATGTTTAGGGGATCCTATGTAGCATTCCTTCAGGGTTTTTAAATACTAAAATGAGGTTGCTAATGCCCATCACTCCCCCGAAGGACCCCCAGCTGGGAAACATGCTTAATGTAATTAGGAGCTAAATGGTGGCCCATGTTGGGGCACAAAGTGAAAAATTACTTTGGTCTTCCTAAATAGGGAGATCAACCATCCTAGTTTGCCTGGGATTGAGGGGCTTCCTGGGATGCGAGACTTTTGATTTTAAAACCGCAAAGGTCCTGGGCCAACAGAGATGAGTTGGTCACACCATTCTCAAAGGACATAGGGGTAGCAGACCTTGAACAGAGTGGAAATCAGAAAGCCTGGGAGAAAGCATTGGAGGCCTGGCCCAGGAGAGACCAATAATTTGCATGTTTGGGAGACGGTGTGCTCATGTCGGGAAGTAATGGGAGAAGATTATAAACACAACCAAAGACATCTAATGAATGGGCAAAGGGATTCAGATTATGCTGATTCAGACACTTTGGGAGGGAGTCTTCTCTCTTTCTGTGGTGTTGTCCTGGAATTGGAGATGAGACATGTCTGGACCCACCAACCTTACTACCACTGCCCTATAATTTAGTTGTTGATAACATATTCCTGTTTGGTTCTCAGTTTCGTGTATGTTAGTCTCTAGTAGACTGAATCTCTTCAAGGGCATGAACTGGATATTCTCTTTATCTCACATCTGCTACAGAGTACAGCACAGCTGCATGGTCAGTATTACTTAATAAATACTCACTGATCTGATTTGGCTAAAAGATCCTCCAATATAAGGGGAAGGATCTGATTGGATTACAAGATATTATTTTCTACACAGTACCAATGGTCCTTCAAGTACACATAGCTTTTGTCCCACACTCCAGATGACCCAATGGGACCCAACAGTGGCAAAGATCAAATCTGGGTATTGCATATAGAGGATCCAGAAGTAGGGTCCAGGGACCAGCTCTCAGCCCAGGGCATTGGGTTTCATGCACAGCCCTGACTCCAGTGGACAGGATGTTGGGTTTTAAGCAGGAAATGTGGACACTCAGCCTTCCATCCACTGTGTGGTGAATCAGTTTATGCTTTGGTTTCTCTGTCTTCATGCCAATTAAAATGCAATCCTAATTAAGGGGGAAGGATTAGAAAGACAACTCCGAAAACAGGGAGCAGTGATCATGCTTTATTAAAACATACGCATAATGGCTCATGTCTATAGTATCATGAGTCCATTTTCTGGTGGCCAGGGAATCAATGGCATTTTTGCTAACTGGAGCATTCTTGCTATTCTCTTTGCCCAGTGTTTGCTTTTTCTGGTACCTATACCCTGCTCTTTGTGGCCCGAACTCTTCAAGGCATTGGATCTTCATTTTCATCTGTTGCAGGTAACGCCGACATCTTACACACACACACACACACACACACACACACATCTCTCACCATCTCTTACTACCATCAGACCGTATAAGATTTATACGAAGAAATTAAGGAAAATATCATCATAGTTGTGATTGTTGCATAAATTGTGATATGTATCTCTGCATAGTTGCGGAAATTGTGATTTATTAAAAACAAGATAATTGTAGAGTTGCTGTTAGTGCCTATAAATCTCTAAGCGTGACATAATTTTCTTTGATATTTAGATGCTGCTAGCTCAGGTCAGACCAAGCCCAAGGTAAAACTGTGAAGTATGCCAGGTTTTGATTTAATGCCACTCTATGGTCTTTTCTCTATCCCCCTCTTACCATTTTATAGAAGTAGTAAAGTTAATACTATTGGTAATACCATCCCAGTTTGCAAAGTACTATCAAATACAATATTTAATGTAACCCTATGAAGCAGAGATTTTATGACATTTTACACATGAGTAAATGGGCATAAGAGCCCAGCCCACACTCTCTCCCAAGTGCTTTCATACTCTTCCTTGGGCATCCCCATTGAATAGAGCAGTGCTCTGTGTCCATAGGTTTTTCCCTTCCTTGACCTGCTCCATATCCATGGATTCAGGGAAATGTTCTAGGAAATGATAAAATAATATGAAATGCAGGATCACTGGACAATGGTATTCTGCATTACCCTCCCCAGAGACTTTTGCACTTCTAATGATATTCTGAACAGAAGGAGTGAGCAAGGTGGGCATTTGGGGGACCTGTGGGAGGCAGTATTTGCAAAATACTATGGGTTAGGTTCTATAAAACCCCCAAAACTGAAACTCTAGCTAAGACGACCCCTGAAGATATAATAGGGGCAAGACCAAGGACTCAGTGAGAGAGGCAGAGACTAGGCTAATTCTACCTGCCTCTCTCCTTTCAGGTCTTGGGATGCTGGCAAGTGTCTACACTGATGACTGTGAGAGAGGGCAGGCCATGGGAATTGCCTTGGGGGGCCTGGCCTTGGGAGTGCTAGGTAAGTGGCACTGGCCCCAGGTCTGGGTTCAGGAGGATGAGCTACAGCAGACTCTCCGGAGACAGCCCCAGGAGGCAGGTGTTTCTAAGGTCATGGAAGACAGCATTTTTCTTCCTTCTCCGTCCCACCATGTTTTGAGTCCTTCTGAAATTCTGCCCAGGAAAAGCAGAATCTCTTTCCCCTTGGGGAGCTGAACAGCCCATAAGGGCCTGGGAATGGTCCAGAAACCTACTCTATTCCAGGGAGTGAATCTCTGCATGTTAGTAGCCACCGCCTTACCTCTGCTTCCATACGTGGCCAGTGCTTTCAACATGAGAACATGCTCTTTGTCAGGTTCTGTGCTAAATATATACATAATCTCTTTTATTCCTCACTACCACACTGTAAAAGAGGAATGATCATCCCCATTACACAGATGAGGATAAGAAACGTTCATAGCCATCCAAGGTCACATGGCCGGGAAATGCCAGAGCAAGGATACAGACTCAGATTTTCTGGGATCGAATCCCAAGCTCCAAACCATAAGCTTATGCTTTCTTTGAGGTTCATCCAAAGTCTGGTTTAACTGACTAGTCCAACAAGCCACAAACTTTTACTGAGTACGTATTGTGTGCCAAGCACAATGCTGGCACAGAGGGGATATAGGTCAGACGCCTCAGACATGCTTCCTGCCCTCTAGGAATTTTCTAGCTAATTGAGAAGAAAACACCAAAAATCTCTTCCCTGGCCTATACCCTGCTCTCTACCACCACAGTGAGGAGAGGGAAGCAAAGCCCTGCTCTTTGTTAGTATCCACCTCCGCAAACACCCAAGCTAACACTTTGGTGCATCCTTGTCTCCTTTATCACCTCTCACTCCCAAATGAATAAGCCTATTAAACCCTCCTCAGCCACTTGCTCAAAGCCAGCACCTCATCACGTCTCAGTTGGAACACGGCACCAGCCTCCTGCCTGATCTGCACGTTGTCTCCTTCCTCCAAGGTTCTGCCCGAAGAAGCTTCCTATGACCAGAGCTGGTGTTTCTTCCCTGCCAAAAAGCACTGGTCTTTCTCCCTAGCCCACAAGGCCAAGTACATGCTTTATCTGGATATACAGGGCCCTTGGCTATTTGGTCTCAACCTTCCCCACCTCTTCTCATCTCCCAAATACTCCTATTCTCGTAACAGGAACTTTCTTCTATTTCTGCTCTATCCACACTCTCTTTTCTGACACCTCTGTGTTCTTCACACATGCTTCTTCCCCACAAGTATTACCCAGTTGACAAAGCCCCTGTGGCCACCTGAACTCACTCTACTGTGATTACATAACATTTTGTGGATGGAACATTTACTTTTCACCATGTTATAATTATTTGGGTCCCCCCACGCCCACACACACATTTCTTCCACTAGAAAGTGAGCCCCTTAGAAGTAGGTCTTCTTCATCTCTGAATCCTCAAAACCTCGTGTCCTCATGTGGAGCTCAGCCCCTAGCAGGCCATCAAGAAATGCTCACTGGGTATAGGAGGACAAGTCATGCTGGCTGGGAATCAGCCCCCCATCTCTGGAATCCATGCCTGTTTTGCTTTTCTAGTGGGAGCTCCGTTTGGAAGTGTGACATATGTATTTTGGGGGAAGACTGTACCCTTCCTCATCTTGGCCTCCCTGGCACTACTGGATGGAGGTAAGTCACCATAAGAGGCCACCAGGCAGGCGAGAGCCCAGGTCAGGTTGGGAATGCATTATGCTATGGTGTCCGTGTTGACATATTTGGGTGGATCAAGGACTGCCCCATCGTAAGAGAGAGGGAGGAAGCTCAGGGAATTAGATCTGCAAGAGGTAGGGTGCTAACAATGTGGCTGTTATTGGATCCTCCATCTAATAAGTGGACACACTGAACTATTTCTCACTCCCTCTTCCTTTCTTAGCACTCCAGCTTTGCATCCTACAGCCTTCCAAAGTCTCTCCTGAGGTAAGTGGATACCAAGTTCCATTGCCAAGAGAGTGATAGAATGGATAGGTGCAGTGACCCAGGCCTGCCTAGACCATCCGTGTCAAACCATAAGAAGAAAGGGGAGTGGAGTTGGAGAAAGCAAGAACTGTACTGGATTCCCAATAGGGTCACGTTTAGGATAGCATGAGGGATGGGGAAGGAGTCTGGCTTGATGTTGGACCAAGATGGAGGAAGGGCCTTATAAAGAATCAAAGAAACCTTACTGAGTTATGTATAATAACTCAGAACCAGGATGACAATGACATTGGGACCTGAGTATTTATAGTTATAATATCTCAGAGCTAAAGAAGACCTTGGAGGCCATCCAAACAATCTCTACCCCCAAAGCATACTTACAGACTGTCATTCTGTAGCAGTTAAATATCAGAGTTGGTATCTGTCTGACTCTAAGACAGAGATGGCTCTGGGAAATCTATACCAAGTCATGAAGAAAGATAAGAGAATACAGACAATATGGGAATGTTTGATCTAAGGACCTTGATTTTGTAGCCAAGTCAGATGGTAGTGTTAGTATCGTAGGGGCGCACTACTTGTGATTGGTGTCTGAAGTGGGGGGCAATCTTGTGGGGTCTGTGCTAGCTCCAAGTAATTAGTGCCAGAATTGAATTAAACTTTAGGGACACCCAGTTGGTTCACAGAGAATTGGAGAATTGCTTGGTGTGAAAAAAGCACACCCATTTGGTATCAGAAGTGTTGTAAGTAGAGGAGTGATTTTCCTTTAGTACCTTTTTGAATAATTTTGATTTTTAGATGGTAATGGTCTATGTATTCAAAAAAGTATTTTTTTTTCTGGCTGGCATACCAGTTCTATATTTTATTCATTCTTCTATATTTGGGCATTTAGGTAGTTTCCAGTATTTTGCAGCTACAAATAGTGCTGCAATGAATAACCTTGTGTATAGGCATTGTTATAGAGTTGGCGGTAATCTTTAGAGTAGATTTCTAAAAGTGAAATTGTCAGGAACTCCCTGGCAGTCCAGTGGTTAAGACTCCACACTTTCACTGCCGAGGGCCCGGGTTCAATCCCTGGTCAGAGAACTAAGATCCCACAAGCCACATGGTGCAGCCAAAAACAAAAACAAATAAAAGTGAAATTGTTGGGTCAAAGGGTTTATTGGACTTCTTTATGTACGTTTTATGATTTAGATCTGTCTCTTTACTTGAATTATATATGGGAGAGGGCATGATCTTTTTAGTTTTAGTATCTCTGAATATTGCAGTCCACCCTGTGTGGATGCAGAGAGGGTTATCATATCAAAACTATTAAATCTATTACAAGATAGAATGAGGTAAACACCAGAGGTTAGGACACAGTACTCAGGAAATTTGAAAGAGAGAGAAGTTCCAGCTCCTGAGTCAGGGAACACTGGATAAGAAGGAGCCATTTAAGCTTGACCTTGACGAATGGGTGAGGTTTGGATCTATGCAAAGGAGAAGGAAGGGAGTTTAGGAAAAGATAACCATGACAACTGAGGGCCTGCTTGTATGCATGGAAGGAAGGTAGAGGCTAAGTTTATCTGGAATGAAGTTTTTTGAGGGGTGCGGGATGTTATAATTGGACATTTAGGCTGGCATTTTAATCTAGATGTTCAGGCTCCTTCGGCCACACCAGTCCGGTATGGCTCCACACGGTCAAAACAAAGCATTCAGGAAGCTTGAGCAGCTTTCTGAGTTGTTACCTCTAGGCTCACCTTTGGGGTTCAGCACTCTGCCTGTGGTCCTTCCTGGATGAATATTGGTGCTGGCAAGATCTAGTGGAGAGGCCCGAGGCCAGGAGCCCAGACACCTGTTGTCCAACGTTGGCCTTGCTGACAATCCACTCTGATCTGGTTGATGGTCACTCAAAGGCAGGAATCATGTCTGGAATATGTTGTCCTACTCTTTGTGACTGCCTTGCACACGGGGGCTGTGCGGCCACCAGCTCACTCTGTGACATTGGGCAAGTCACCTCCTCTTCTATGACGTGGGTGTCTGGTCTCTCCAGTAAGGGAGCTGACGTAGACGGTCTCTGAGGTCCTTCCTGCACGCTCTCAGATTCTGTGAAAACAGGAGAGATGTATACACGGTACAAACGGAAGGTTTTTGTTGCCCATGTTCTCAGAGTGCCAAGGGGACTCCTCTCCTCACACTTGTCAGAGATCCATTTATCCTGGTGGCTGCAGGTAAGCTGACATTGCCTCCCTTTGGGCTGGGAGAGTCTGAGCTTCAGGGCAGCCTTGGGGGCTCACTGAACCATCTCCCCAGGCTCCCTCTGCTTTGCCAACATGGGGGTGGCCATGCTCGAGCCCACACTGCCCATCTGGATGATGCAGACCATGTGTGCCCCTGAGTGGCAGCTAGGTAAGTGACCTCGGTCCCCAGCTCGGGCTTGGGCAGAGATGCGTGCTATGGGCCCTTTCTCAGGTAATCGGCAAGCATCATCAGGGCCAGGTCTTCAGAGTCACAGAAGGACAGTGTGCTTCCTTCACAGAATTACGTTCCCTGCCCACACCTGTGAATCAAGCCTGATTTAGTGGGCAGTCCCTTCAAGAGGCAGGCCGAGGACCAGTTCTCTCAGGGTTACTTGATAGGCTGCCTCCTGGGCTTGAAGTCCTAAAAATGTCTGTCCAATAAAACTAACTCTCAACTTAAAAAAAAAAAAAAAAACGGAGAAGAAGAAGAAAATGAGAAGCAGGCTGAGAAGGGCAGGGTTGGGGGGGCGTTGATGGGTGATGGAGGGGCAACATACCTAGCTGGGTGGATGGATAACTTCTAGTCAAAAGACCTTGGGTTTTTATTTCTGCTCCATTGAGTTGCTGTGCACACTTGTGAAAATCACAACTTTCTGAGCACCACTTCTCTCATCTCTAAAATGGACATCAGAATACTATCTAGTTCAGAGGGTAAATCTGAGGAACAAATGACATAATCTGTGGCAAAGCTTTGCATCCGTAGAATATTAACAAGGCACCAACGTTACCAACACTGATACGTTCTTCTTTCCCACTCTCTGTCCCCCAGATTACCCTTTTGCTATCTTTTTACCTCTAAAAAGGTGCTAATGGAGTATATTGTTCTGTGAGGGAGGCCTCTGGCCTCCTCTGCTCCATGGAGAGATGTCCTCATGACTCATCTGAGCTTAGAGAGCAGGCTCTGGACCTTTCCAGGAAGCCTGAGGAAAGGGGACAGAGAAGGTTACATGCAAATGGCTCAGTCGCTGCAGGGAGGAGAGGCTTAAGTGGCCAGAGGGGAAACTGACAAGAACCTGATACAGCTTAATATACAATGAAAAGCACTAAATCTAATTTTTTAGGGGACCAGGCTAAGCAAGGCTCCCAGCTGCACTCGTAGCCCTAAATTGAATTTTTCTGGGCTGCAGCTGCCTCTGACCATGACAGTTAATTGAGTTAGTTGGTGCTTGGTGCAAATAAACATCCCCTGCCTCAAGGTTCTAGCCGCTCAGGCTCTTGGGGCAGAGGGGCAACCAACCTTGGCTCAGAACGGCCTCTCTCCAGCCCTTCTTCACCCCACAGAAATATTAAAAGCAAACCAGCCATCAGCCAGTAACTGGTGAATTGCTGACTTTGGGTTTAATTGTAAACATCCTGACAGTTTCTGTTAGGCAGCGCTGTTTCCTGTCAGGGTACAGAGAAGCAGAGAGAGGCTGGTGAGTCACAAGGAAACTCACAGGCCTGATGCCACCCAGTGCCTTGTGCAGGCGAGGCTGCGGTAGAAAGCCCTCAGGAGAGTAAGTGAGACTGAGAAGGCCTTGTCCTCCGCCATCCCTTACAACTTTTCTCAGTGCCCTCTGCATCTGTAAGTCTAACTTCAAATGTTCTCACCTGGAGGGTGTGTTAAAATTCAGATTGCGAGGCCCCATCCAGCAATTCCTCAGAAACAAGTTTGCATTCCTGGTGAGTTTCCCGGTGAGGCTGATAATGGCATCAGCGAGCACACTGAAAAATATTGCTTTCAATGCAGAACCCTCTCCAAGTTGTTGGGAGGAACAATTTGTAGTGTGTGACTGAACATTCTCCAAGTGGCCCGTTGTGTGCCCGCGACTCTCACCCAGTGGAGGAAAGAGCTCAGGCTTTGGAAACAAGCCCACCTGGGTTGAAATCCTGACCCAGCCACTTACTGGTTGTGTCCTTGGATAAGTTACTTAACGTCTTCAAAGTCCACTTTTTTTCATTTGTAAAAATGGAGGCACTTTTCTGGTTGTTTTCAGGTTAAATAGATCTTTGTATTCTAAAGGCATTAGCACAGTGCCTGGAATAGAGGATATAGTCAGGAAATCACTTTGACAGTCACAGCTCTGTGTAATTCCCCACCCCTTGAAGATATGCTGTGAAATATATATGTGTCTGTAGACATATAGTCTGGAACACCTCTTTTGCACAAAATGCCACTGAATTGCAAGCTATACTCAGATCCTAAAGAACAAGCCACACTGACTGAGGAAAATCTCATTCAGGAAATCCCACATCACTTAAAATGATGTCAAGGAGATGTATCTAGGAGGCCTGTGGGCTTGGTACAGGTGCCCATTTCCAGATACCAGGTAGGCAATTGAGTAGCTATACTATTACATTTTTTAAAAGCAGTTAAACAGAAACACATGGTTACAGTTTGAAACAGATTGCCACCTGTACAGATAGACTAGACAAACACACTAAGGTGTGTTTCACCTCCAGCCCACAGAAGAGAATATTAAAAGCAAACAAGACCTCAGCCAGTAACTGGTGAATTGTTGACTTTGGGTTTAATTGCAATCATCATGACAGTTTCTATTAGGCAGCACTGTTTCCTCTCCATACAGAGAGGCAGAGAGAGCTGCTGAGACCCAAGGAAACTCACACCACTCATTCCATGCAGTTCTTTATGCCAGAGCCATCTGTGCTGCCACACTGCTGGTGGGGTGGTGGAAACACCTGGAGGTGGAGGGAGAAGGTCTGGGTTCAAGTCCTGACCCTGTTACTCCCTGGTTATGATGATAATAGTTAAGGCCGATGCTCAGAGAGCACTTATTCTGTGCCAGGCGCCTTGCAAAATGGTCGCTTTGCATTATCTCAATTAAGCCTTATAACCAGCCTATCTGGTACCAATTATTATTATTCCCATATTTTAGAGATTTCTTAATCTGACCCAATTTCCCATTACCTTCCCAAATCCTGGGTCTTGTGGAAGCCCCTGCCATCAACAAGTGTCCCTGTGCCCTCAGCCTCTTTTCTCTGAACGCTTCTTTCATCTTCTTGCCCTGAGACCTGAATGTTTTCTGAGAACACCATTTTCCCACAGCCTTCTTGATGGAAGTTCATGTTCCTTTAGGCTTTGCTTTCTTTCGCTGCTTCTGAATCATTTCTTCTTCATTCCCCCTCAAAGGCCCTGACTCCCATGAAAATCGTGTCATTAGATTATACCACCCCACCCTTCTTTATTGCAGTTATCTACTGACCCCTGAGTTATCCCTTCTCATTCATTAAATCCACCAACACCTGGCTTATATTCATTTCACCTTTATTCCTGTCACCACTTTTGGTGACTTCCATATCCAGGTGGATAACCTTACCAACATCTTGGCCTATTCCTTAATCTACTCTCTTGCAATGATCTTCTTCTCCTCTCCACCTTAACCAATCAAACCTTTATATAATATTGACCTTGACCTCACCATTAATCGTAGCTTCTCTGAAATTTCACTTCCAAGCAGTGCAGTTATCACCTTACATATTCCCTGCTCAGGTATTCTAATACCCCTATATTAACACATTTTGGCTACACTGGGATCACCAGTCCATTCAATTCTTTCTCTGTTTCCCTCACTACTCATGTCCTCTCTTCTTTCTTTACTCAGCTTGGAGCCCATCGTGATGAATCCACGTCCATCACTAATGTCACTCCTTTGAAAGCATCGTTAATTTCTTTGCCCCACCCGCTCCCTCTGGGGTTGTCACATGGGAAGCCTTAACTCTGGTTAAGCCTATCTGGTTGCCGACTCCTTGCATGCACCTGAGCAGTGACATGGGGCTGTAGGAAAACACACACTAGCTAGGCTGTTGGTCTCACCTTATACTTATGGCCACAAATCTAAAGTGGGTTTTCATACTGTCCAACAATCTTTCTTTAAGTCCCTAGTTATGTTCTTCCTACTTTCCAAAAGGACTGGTTTACACTTCTCCATTCAAACCTCCTACACACCCTCATCCCTTCACCTTCATCATCCTCAACTCCCAGTCATTGAGAAAACAGAAGCAACAAGAGGGGACCTTGCATGTCCTCATCACTACATATACTTACTTCCCCATACCTGTGCGTACATCCACTGCCTTCTCTTTATGGTTGGAACATCCCAGCTCCTTCAGAGGTCAAACTTCTTTTTCCTTTTCTTTTCTTCTTCTTTTTCCTTCTGGATTCCGTCTCCTCCTACTTCATTGGCTACTCCTTATCACCTTTGCTATCTCCTCCTCGTTTGTTAACTTTTAAAGGTAGGAGTCCCGGAAGGCTCAGTCCATAGATATCTGTTCTTCTATCTCTGATCTTTCATGGGTGATCCCAGCCATTCCCATGGCTTTAAGAACTAATTGGTAAACCAATTAGTAGAACGCTTATGTCTGTGGGTAGGATTTCTCCTCGGAACTCTAGACTTGTCCACTCAGTGGGCCTTCCTATTTGCATTAAGTGTTTTTGTTTGTTTGTTTTTCTTGCTACAAACCTTCTGTCTTGGTTATTCAGTTCTCAGCTTAAATGTTACCTCCTCAAAGAAGCCTTCCCTGATCCCCTAAATCTAAGTTAGCCCTTATTCCTGGTCACTCTTCCATACTGCCACATTAAACTTTCTTCACAGAACTTATCACTTGTCAAAATTATCTTTTTCATTTATTTGTTTACTTGTTTATTGTCTATCTCCCCCCCTTGGAATGTAAGCTCCCAGGAAGCCAGGATTTTGTCTATTTTATTCACCCTTCTAATCCTGGTCCCTAGAATACCTGGTACATAGTAAAAACTCATTAAAAATGCTACATGAATAAATAAATGAAAGAACAAATCAATGATACTCAGAGAGGGTAAATTCCCCATGGTCACAGAGCTAAAAAGTGGTCAAGCCACAGTTTGAACTCAGCACCAAAGCCCATGTTCCAGGGTACCTGACTCTACTGTCACAAAAAAACAGTGTGATAAGGGCTTCAGTTTACAAAATCCTTTTACATACATTTATCTAATTTGCTCCTTAGTGTAATTTGGTATGATAGAATCACAGCTTTGTTTTTAGGACTCTGCGCTTCCACTGCAGGGGGCATGGGTTCGATCCCTGGTCAGGGAACTAAGATCCCGCAAGCCTTGAGGTGTGGCCAAAAAAAAAAAAAAAAAAAAGTCACTGTCACAGCAATAGAAGGGCAGGTAAATAGCAAGGCAGGATTTTACTTCCTAGGAGGTATGTAAGTCTTTCTCTAAAGCTCATGCTCTTATGCTGATAATCACGGGTATTTTACACATGAGAATGGCTCATCAAAGCCATTCATCAGGAAATCCAATAGGGGAGCTAAAAACACGTTAAGTGTGTTGAAGCTAAACACAGCCCTGCTCTTGAGGAAAGCAGAGTGTGGAGCCCTATGTCATCTGCTCTGGGTTTGCACAAGGATCTCCAACCCACAAAACAAAGCGGTTTGGGATCCTTGAAGGTAACAGGGGGACTTCACTGTCCTGTAAGAAACAAGGTGTTTTAGAGTAACTGGGTACATTCTAAGGTAAGGGCCTGTGTCTTTCCACAGGTCTAGCTTTCTTGCCTGCCAGTGTGTCCTACCTCATTGGCACCAACCTCTTTGGCGTGTTGGCCAACAAGATGGGTCGGTATGTAGCCTGGGGATCTGGGAAAAGTCAGGTGGGAGAGTCTTCTGAGGTGTTCCCTGCACCTGGGATGATGAATAATAGCTTCTCTGAGGTTGAAACTTTAGAACAAGTACACACAGATGAAAACTGCCCACTGGGAGGATGGGGATGGGTAGATGGTAAGGGCAATATAGAGAAAGGATGGTCCTGAGCTGGCTGCTATAGAAGAGGCAGTGAATATATGAGAGACAACCTTTACTATCCAGATGTTTGTTGTCCAGTTGAAGAGATAAAATAATTCCACAGAGAACAGGTATGAAGAAAGCAGTACCTTGGGGCAGTGGTCGTCAAACTATATTCCATGGACCCCCAGGGAGCTCTACAGGTGTGCACCGGAGGCCACCAAGTGGAAAGGGTTGGGGGCTAAGAGGTATGAGTCTGGTTTCTGTCCCTCCACTACAGTGCGAACACCTTTAATTTTACCATTGGAGTTCAGCACAAAGATTTTAAAAATAAATTTAAAAACCATTGCCATAGGAAATCAGAGAAGGGAAGAAGTTTGGTATGTTTTGTGGTTTTTGAGATGGACCCTGAAGACCAGATAAAATATGAATAGGTGAGAGGTAGGCTGAATCGGGAAACAGCAGAAATTAAGTTTGAGGATTATCCCCACGGGGCAAGTACCTTCTGAGTCAGCTGCTTCCTCTTCTAAGGGAAGGAAGAATATGTCCCATTGCTCTTCATCTGCTTCTTCTGGAAAGAGATGTGGAGTCAGGGAAGAGGTGAGGGGCCAGGAAGGGACAGGGCAAGGGCTCACCTGGGCATAAACTGGTCCTGTAGAGATGCGCTTATCTTCTCATATCCTAAGGGGTTCCTGGAAGTAGGGGTGGTAGGACTGGCCAGTGTGTTGGTGATGGGGTGGCAGGTGGAAGGGATCTCTCCCCTTTGCACTGTTTAATGATGGCTGTTTTCTTCCAGGTGGCTGTGCTCCCTGATTGGGATGGTGGTAGTAGGTACCAGCTTGCTTTGTGTAAGTATAATAAGGGCTTGTTGAGAGAGAGAGAGAGGGAGAGAGAGAGAGAGAAACCCGGACATTTAAGGACCACTTTCCTTTGAAATGAGCAGAGGGTTGATTTGGCAAGGATTGTCAGAAAGACTGTTTCTGTGTAGGTAGGAATTTAGCACTGGGGGAGATGCCACCAGTCATCCCATTGAAAGGAGGTGGGGAAGGAGAAGGAGAGGGCAGTGGGGCAGCTGGAGACAGAGGTCTGAGGCATTATGGATGGGCACATGAAGGAATACATGTGGTATCTATTTCTGGGGTCTGTAAATTGGTGCGTTTTATGACTTCATTTACTCATCTCACCCTGACAGGACCCCATAAGCCACCAGGGGAACCATTATCTGTGCTTCCATCTCTAGCGCCAGAATGTTTGGTAGAGGAAGAAAGAAAGAAGGGCTCTTCCATTTCCAGGAGTCCCCTTCAAGCTCTCTGAGCCTTCATTTTCTCCTCTCCACCATAAGGATCAGAAGCACACTTGCCTCGTAGGCTTGAAGGAGAATAAGATGGCTGTAAAGCAGTGAATACAGTGCTCAAGAGAGGCTGGAGGTCCTCATTGGGAACTCAACCTCCGTGTTCAGCTCCAACTTTGTCACTTACTCCTCGCGTGACTTTGAGCTTGTTACGTCACCTCCCTCTACTCAGTACCTTCACCTGTGTAGAGAGGATTCTGAGAGCCCCTCACAGGGTTACCCACACCAACTGCAGCCGTGTCTGGTATGCAGTGAGCCCACAGTGAATTTTATCCAGTACTAGTGATAAAATAGAAATAGCCCTTGAGGATTCACCCCTAAAATTGTTTATAGCCACTAACATCTAAATGGTATGTGAGACTTCTAAGGGGTGAGTGTGCTGGTATAGCAGGTTTGGGTGACAGATGCCCAGGGAGGGAGGTAAGGAACCAGCAAAAGAGGAAAAGAAGGCTTCCGTGGGGGATGGATGGGGAGGGCAAGAGAATGAGTTTCACAAGCTTGCTGAAGCGGCGATGCAAAGCACGCCACCTGCCCTGCTAGCTTATAGGTAATTGGTTGCTGGCATTTCTTTTTTGTCTTCTTGCTCCACTGGCTCCCAATTAGGGTCTAAGTAAAACCTCTGGATGATGTTGCAATTAGAAAAGAGAGGAAACTCCACTCAGTGAAGAGTGAGGGTGGAAGTATGTGTCTGGGTGGAGGGGGTAGAGGAAGGGGAGGAAGAAAGAGTCCATGCAGCAGAAAAGGGCCATTGTTATGGTTTCATAGAGTCAAATCTGAGGTTCACACTTGATCTTACCACTTACGTTCTGTAATTCTCGATAGGACATTTAACCCAAATGGCACCAATCTAGTTTTCCTATCTTTAAACGGAAGTAAAGATTCTTCTTCATCAGAAGGTGTAAGAATGCACGGAGATAATGTCTGTGGCACGTAGCGCCTGGTCGATGACGCATTTTGTAGGAAAACTCTTTGTTTTTGTGCTGCTCCCACCTGACTCAGCTGGACTCCTGATGGACTGACTCTTCTTCCTTTCCTGCTGCAGATTCCTCTGGCTCATAATATTTTTGGTCTCATTGGCCCCAATGCAGGGCTTGGCTTTTCCATAGGTAAGAAGTGCCCTTAAAGGAAACAAGAAGCTCCTGAACGTTGGCTTTGGGTCAGATCAGAGGGGGTATATGGAAAGGCAGAAGGAGAGCGGCTGGCAGGGTTATGGAGAGATGGGCTCATAACTCCTGGTAGGAATGGGTGTCAGTTCTGAGGGGAGGACAGACAGCAGGCAAAGGCAGTGGACTAAAGGGGGGAGGAGGAGGGGGGATGCCACAAACAGGGAGGGGGACTGTGGGTAGAGCTGACTGCGGTGTCCTGCTTGCTCTGACCACAGGCATGGTGGATTCCTCTATGATGCCCATCATGGGACACCTGGTGGACCTGCGCCATGCCCCGGTGTACGGGAGTATCTATGCCATCGCTGACGTGGCTTTTTGCATGGGCTTTGCTATAGGTATGTTGGTGGAGGGATAGGGGAGCACCAGGACCTGGTACCCCACTCTCCCTTTATCTACTGTTACCAGGTAGAAGAGGCTGATTCTCCTAGGGTTCTGGAGATATTTGACCCTGAGACATCCCCTGGGTCACCTGCTGCCCCTAGCATGGTGTCCTCCCTGTGACCAAGACTCAATAAATACTTGTAGATTTGCTTTATTCCTCGCAGGCCCATCCACTGGGGGTGCCATTGTGCAAGCCATTGGCTTCCCGTGGCTCATGGTCATCATCGGGGTCATCAACATCATCTACGCTCCTCTCTGCTACTACCTGAGGAGCCCCCCAGCCAAGGAGGAGAAGCTTGTAAGGGGCTCTGACTACTGCCGAAAAAATAATAATCTTCTGTTTCTTTCCATGTCTCTCATCCCTTTATATCCCATGCTCTTATTTCCTCCCTCTTTGATAGGCTCTCTGCTTTGCCATGTTTTCTGATGCCCCTTTCGTCTCCCTCTTTCCTTTGTGCCCTTCCTTATTTTCCCTTCTCTACACAACCACTTTCTCTCTTACACTGGTCAGTTAGGAAGGGTCCTAAGTACAGAAGGAAAATGGGATGCTTGTAAAGTGTTGGGGTCAGGGATCATCAAAGGCATCCTATATTTGCTGTAGTTACCAGCAAAGTGTGAATTACCAAATTATGCCCACAAAATGGACAGAATTCCACTGGGCACATTCACTCTTCATTCACTCACATCTGTCATTGTCCTTACCAGGTCATTTCTTAAAGTACAAACACCCCAGGGGAGAGAACCACAGCATATGATTTTATAGTTAATAAGATACTTTCCTCTTACCGCAGCATGAGCACCCTGAGGGTCTGGGTGGGTTAGGGATGGATGTGGAGGATGCTTAAAGGAGCAAAAGAAGACGTGAAAGTCTGATGGGAGGTGGTGCCCATTTCAGCTGGCTCCCTGCTATAGCCTGTACTACTGCTGAAAGGATTCAATTAAAAGCACATCAGATGATTCTCTTGACTAGGGTGACTACACCTTGGTCCCTTGGGTGGCCTATGCACATGCATGAAGCAGAGCAAGGGTCCTTTGCTGGTTTCTTGAGTCTTTTCTGTGCAGCACTAGACTTGGATGAGCTAGTTGGGGAAGGGGATGGGGAAGCTGGTGAAGGATGCGCAGTGATTTCTCTTCCTGCCTCTTGCTGCAGGCAGTTCTGAGCCAGGACTGCCCCATGGAGACCCGGATGCACGCAGCCGAGAAGCACATGAGGGAATTTCCTCTGGGGGAGGACAGCAATGAGGAGCCTGGCTGTGAGGAGTAGCAGCAGAAACTGGTCCCTGGACCTTGTCACGTGAGGCTCAGACTTCAGTGACTGACTCGTTCCCTGGACGCGGATCTCCACGGGCTGTTCTTCACTTCTCTCTCCCCTGGTGTCTCCTTTCCTCCCCTCCCATGCATGCTGTTTCCTGGTTCTCTCCTCACCTGTGTCACCTCTAGCTCTCCCTTTAAGCTTTGATGCCTCAGCTAGCCCACGTTTTGTGGGAGGACAGAGTGATGCTTCCTCCTCGGTTTCTGTAAGGCGGTGTGGGTTCTGCGAGGGGTGACTCATTTCACGGAGGCGGCAGTGAGCCGTGTTCCCTGGAACCAGTGGGGTGGCTGACAAAACTCATTTCATCTGTTATCTGATTTTCTTTGGCACCTTCCCAACAGACTATAAGAGTTTTGTCCTCTGTTGCTCGACATGGCCCTCCCTGACTTTTCCCAGATGAGCTGAGAAAGCGTCCTCAACCTTGTATTGCTGCCACATCGCCAGTTTGGGAAATGTTTGCCTGGTTTTTATAAGCTGAGTGTTTTCTCTGTGGCCAAACCTACAGCTGCTGAAGTGAGTCTGCCCTCAGTGAAAGGAGGTCTCCTATTTTCCTCATTACTAAATGGAAAAAGAGCCTGCTTGTCTTATGCTTGAGTTACTGACTTTCTCATGATTTCCCCTGTGGGTTTTGTCTACCTTTCCTTAAATTTCTTAGATTCTTAGAAATAAATGTAGGAGGACAGAAAACACAGTCTATGAGCTCTAAGATTTCATGGGAACAAGGGTAAAGCAACTGTCCTGGAATCCCTTCCAACTCGGGTTTCCTAACACAAAGATTCTAATGAGGCATTGTCCACATTTGCTAATGAATAAGTTGTTCGCTGATTCAGACATGGCAAACTAGATGCTCTTTTACAGAAAAAGAGAGTGTGTGGGCACAGACAGTAGGTACTATAAATATTTTAACATTTTTCTACCTTTTTGAAATAATTACTGAGAGATGGGGTTTCCAAGATATGGGAGGCACGGCACCTACCCTTAGGTAGTTTTCCATCTATCTGGGCAAACTGGATATACATTGAATAAAAACGATCAATACCGCAAGTTTGTATATACACTTGTGTTCAGGTGTAAAGAGGCAGGGTTGCTCATGGTCTGGGTGGGGGATAATGGTGGAGATGGAGGCAGAGGCAGGAATGGAAAGACCCACAGGCACAGACTTGGGGTTCCTGGATATTAGATCGGGGTGTTCAGACTTTACTCTGGAACGGTGCCTGGGTCTGATTAGTACTGTCCTCTGCAAGAGGTTGGTGGGTTCAGTGCAAGTCCTGTATCATCACAACACATTCAAGCTTAGCCTCAATGAATTCTTACCACTTGGACAATGGGTATCTGATTTATGGGTGTGTTTTTAGGGGGTTGGCATTAACTAGACTTACCTGCTTTGCAAAACCCGATGTATTTATATCATTTAGTCAGGATGGTATTGTCTCAGATTTCGAAGGAGCTCAAAGATAAAATTGGGAAATAATTTGTCAAAATATGTAAGCTGTGACTACAAATTTTACATTGAAAGCATGCCCACTGTGACTCTTGTACAAGGTGGGAGTGGGATACAGTAGGGTGTGGAGGTGTCAGGGGCACCAACAACAGTGCTCTTTTGATTCTCACGTCCACATGGAGGACAATTTAATTAAAGGATGGGCTTGTTACAGAAATTGTTCACACATTAAGAAAAAGTAGGAAGAATTTTTTTTTTTTTTTTGTGTTTTGCGGGCCGGTTGTCGGGCCTCCCACTGTTGTTTGTCTCCCGTTTGCGAGAACAGGCTCCGGACGCGCAGGCTCAGCGGCCGTGGCTCACAGGCCCAGCCACTCCGTGGCATGTGGGATCTTCCCAGACGGGGGCATGAACCCATGTCCCCTGCATCGGCAGGCGGACTCTCAACCACTGCGCCACCAGGGAAGCCCTAAAAAAAAGTAGGAAGAACTTTTAACGGAGTAATTCATCTTTAACTTGTTGGTAAACATTGAGCAGTTTAAAACATATGTTTAAGGAGAAACAATGTATATAATTTATTCAGCCTTTCAAAATACTGTTGATAAGAGTCAACGCCAAACCCTACAAAGTAAGTCAGGACCCATTTTTTTATGATAGGTCATAAATAGGTCATAAACGTAGCCTATATATAGAAGATTAGTAAAAAAGAGAATATCATAAAACTAGAAAATGAATTAGTCTTTATCAATGGTTTTACAAAAGATAAGGAATTCATTGTAAACTTCACAGGTGACCCTAAGCTCTTCTAAAAATGAAAATACCAGCCCAGCAAAAATGAGCCACGAGTGTTTTTTTGTTTCTGTTTTTGTTTGTTTTTTGGGATTTTTGTTTTTGGTTTTATTTACTGGTTTGGGCTTTTTTTTTTTTGTAAAAGTGGCAGAAAGTATCAGATGACCTCTATGTGGAATGGCTGAAGATGTGTATTTTCCCCTTATGAAAGGGAGGAGCTGCAGAGACTATAAACATTTATAGGGCGTGAGGCCCCTAACTACCCATGAGATGCAACAAAGGAGACAGTGGAACTCATGAGCTATTGTGCTCAATAGGCCAGAAAAATACTGGGAATTCTCAGAGTGTTGGAAACAAACCAGAAGACATTCTATTTCCAAAGTACAAAACCTGGGGTGGAAACAAGGCACAGGCAGTTACCACAGGCAGTAACTGTGGAGTTCGAGAAAATGCAGAGGGAGCACATGAGATGATAAATGGCTGGCAGGGAGAGTGGTGTGGAGAGAGATAGCACAATTCTTATAGGGAGGGACCCAAACCCAAGGGGATGTGAAGAAAGTAGCTAAAATCTTTAAGAAAGGCCCCGTCTTGGTGTCAGCACCGAATCTCAGAACACTTCCACAAAGGGCTACTCCAAAAGCACTACAGATTTAAGGCAAGAGTCGGTATTAGGGAATATTATCTCCCACTGTGTTGTCTTACTTATGGAGTATCATTACTTCAAGATATAGCCCAAACTGAAATAAAATAAGTTTTCTAAGAATATTTGACCCTATACCTGGAGGCAGCTCTGTAATGCTTGTGTAAGTCTGTCCTCTGAGGTTGACGTGAAGAAAGGGCAATGTAGTTCTTCCGCACAGCATGCCTGGGGGGCCCTGGATGTGATGATGCTGAGTCTATCTTTGTCATCTCTAACACCTGTTTGTCCTCTACCTGTAGACTGAGCTTCATGGGTGATGTACCAAGGTCGCTGTGTCACCCTACAATCCTGTCTAAGGCAGAAAAACTTTCTCTGGGGCAAGGGAGGATTGGAACAAGGTGGCTTTGGCACACAGCACTCTCCCCCCTTGCTGTGAGGGAGGAATGCTGAGGTCATAAGGTGATAGAAGGAGGACCAAATCAAGAGTAAACAGAACTAATCCTAGTCTAGCTCTGCCACTGACCAGCTGTGTGTCCTGAGGCAGGTCATTTCACACCTCTGGGCTTTAGCGTCACCTCCTGTAGATCAGATCTGGCTTTCTGTGGATCCATCCTGCCGCTGGCTTGTTTGTGAGTGCCAGGGGCAGGGCCTGTGTGAAGAGCCTAAGGCAAAGATGAGCCATCCAGCCAGTGCTTCAGCGCACCTCAGAAATACAAATGTGACTTGAGGCTTGATTTCCTGTATTCAGGAAGTTATTGGAAATAAAATATGCACCTTCTTCTGCCTCCTTCTCCTTTTCCTCCTCCCCCTTCCCCTACCCCCTTTTTCCTCTTTGTTCTTCTTCTTCTGGAGGGTGAAGTGTACAGTGTAAGCAGAGCCAGGAGGCCTGATCAAGGTCTGTTTGCATTTGTCCTCCAAACCGAGTCAGCATACAGTCTCCTGAAGTCACAGGGGAGGAAACTGAGGTTGTTTGGCCGACTCTTGCTTGTGTTTGGTTACTCAGACTCTTAGCCCAGGCCAGTAACTGACAGCTATTCATAAAGGGAGAATTGCAGGGTCCTGGGTGTGCTGAGGGGCAGCCAGACAGGGTGGATGCCACAACTGGTTGTTGAGCAAATCTTCACAGGAAAGCAAGAAGCTCTGTGTGTACAGGTGTAGTGCAATATAGTAACATGACAATGTGCAGGTGGCCTGGTGCTCACCCTAGTTCTACCATGGAATCACGGGGTATCAGGGATCTGGGGACAGGGCAGCAGTATTACAGAGCAAAGCAGGTGGCAGAACTCCTCTACATATAAGCTATGTGGCAATGAAAACGTCCTTATTTGTAAAGTGGAAAAAATAGCAATACTTTAGTAACAGGGTTGTGATGAAGATTAAATGAGATAATAATAAATGAACTAAGAATACGCTTTATAAATCATAAAGTCCTATCCAAGTGCTACTTTCTGTTATCAGTTAGTCCAACTCTCTTATCTCACAGAAGAGGAAACAGGTCCAACAAAGGAAATTGAGCTTCCTAATGTCGTACACTAGAATGGAGTACAGTCTCCATACAAATTCCTTATCAGATATATGATTGGCACATATTCTCTCCCATTCTGTGGGTTGTCTTTTCACTCTCTTGATGTATCCTTTGGAGCACAAATGCTTGTAATTTTGAAATCCATGTATCTATTTTTAATTTGTTACTTGTGCTTTGTCATCATAGCTAAGAAACCATTGTCTACGCCATGGTCATGAAGATTTATACCTATGTTTTCTTCTAATAGTTTTTGGGTTTATCTCTTATATTTAGATCTTTGATCTATTTTGAGTGAATTTCTGTATGTGGTGTGAGGTAGGGGTCCCACTTCATTGTTTTACGTGTGGATGTTCAGTTGTCTGAGCACAATTTATTGAAAAAACTATCATTTTCCCATTGAATTTTCCCAGGACTGTTTTCGAAAGCCAGCTGACTATAAATGTAAGGATTTATTTCTGAGCTCCTAATTCTATTCCATTAATGTATTTGCCAGTCCTTTATCCTAGCAGTTTCCAAAAAATTCTTGCTATCTCATGTAGTATCAACTACTTTTCCCAAATCTTTCCTTCTGAATCCTTTCATAGGGTAGCTGTAGGAGCTTATATGAGTTAAAATCTTTCCAGCTTATTTAAAGAAAGATGGGGGGGAAATTACTCATAGTTTAAATTTGCTTGTAAAAAGACATTGAAAAGAGCCAGCGTTGAGACAGGTTTGGAACAGAGTTTGGTCTGTGTGCCTGCATTTATTTTTCATATTTGCTGGAGTAGTCTGAAATTAAGTCCTTTATTTCTGACTCTTGGCCTGACTCTTCCTGTTAGCAATTAGCTGAGGCAGAACCACGGCTGAACTTGTTTTTGGCATGCATAATATGCCTGGCATGCAAGGCTGTGGGTGAATGACGTGGGGGTATCACCGCTCCGTGTTGACCCCTGCATCCAGAGCGCTTGCCAGAAATTATGGTAGCAGCACATCTTACACATCCAACTCTACTCGGGCTGCCCCTTGGTCCATCTTGGCCTCCAGCCACTGACACTCTGAGCCTAGGGGTTCCTTATGGAAATCACTTACATCCACTCCCCCCAGGCTTTCCTTTCACCTGGTTGAATCACAGGTTAGCCTACCTCTGCTCTATCTCCTTACGTCAGTACCAGCAGAAATTCCTCGTAGTCTCTGCATGTGGATGTCTCTTCCCATAGGTTCCAGGACTGATACAGGCCATTTAATGGGCCCTTAGGAGGGGTGGGGTGGGGCAGAGTTAAAAATGCTCAGATCACTATCTTGAGTGGAGTGCTGATTTGCCCCACCCACCACTGCAGTTTTCTTAGTCATTGTTTCCTTTTCCTTTCCATTCTTTTTTTTCTC